AAAGGACGGAGAGTCAGAATGCGAGTTAAGTTTCACTGGTCTTTGCCCCTTTAAGGCGAGGGAAGGCGGACAGGTGGTCTCCCTCTGAGGATCGCCCCCGCACCCCGCCCGGGACACTGGAGGGAAGTGTGGTTTGCAGGTGTCGGGCTGCAGCACGCCCGCCTGCGGAAGGTTCGGGTGGGAGAGAGTGATTGAAAGCACATTCCAACGCAGAATACAGCCTGTATCATAGAAACCTACACTTGGTGAATAATATACTCTCATTAACCAATGTCACCCCAAGGAATTTAATTTTTAAAAAATCAAAAAAGAACTAAAAAAGTCAATCGGCTGGGGATTGAAGAAGAAGAAGAAGAAGAAGAAGAAGAAGAAGAAGAAGAAGAAGAAGGGGAAGAAGAAGAAGGGGAGGAAGAATCCTAAACCTGTGACACGAGTTGCAATAGGGCCGGGACCACCGGTCCAGAGGCACCCCCCCTCCCGCCCCGCCCGCTCCGGAAGGGCCTGCCTGCGTGAACGCAGCGAGGAAAGACCTGCAGCACTCGCCCTTTCGCTCTCGGTTCTACGGGGAACGCAGGGAGAGTAACTCACAGCACATGGGGCAAATCAACTTTGCAAACAAGTGATTTGTAGAACTGGTCAGGTGTGCAGCAGATGGACGTTTTCAGGGAAAGAATTCTATGACTGGTTATGTTTGCAAGTTTTTGCCATAATCAAAGCTATAAAAAGCGGTATGCACTGAGCATAGCTGCTGTTAGATACTATCGTGAAGGTTCTTGTCACCAAAGGAAAAATGATCACTTTACACATAAAAGTTCAGCTTGTACTGATTTAAAAAAAATAATAAAAACTAGTATATGCCAGGCACTATTTTAAGTATTTCACATGTATTTATTAATTCATTTATAGTTTTTATAAAAATACGTTTGTGTACATAAAGACCTAGAAGCTTCTTTATTTCAGCCTTGTTTATAATAGGAAAAAATAATTCCTAAGTATCTATCTATACAGGAATAACTAAATAAACTTATAATACATAAATGATATAGAATAATACTATTCATTGCTATTATTTAAAACATTGACATAGCCCGGCCTGTGTGGCTCAGTGGTTGAGCATCGAACTATGAACCAGGAGGTCATGGTTTGAATCCAGGTCAGGGTACATGCCTGGGTTTCGGGCCCATACCCAGTGTGGGGCGTGCAAGAGGCAGCCGATCAATGATTCCCTCTCATCACTGATGTTTCTATCTCTCTCTCCCTCTCCCTTCCTCTCTGAAATCAATAAAAATATATAAAAAAATAAAACACTGACATAGATATATAGGTCCTCTTCCAGTTACTCTGGCTGCATTGCAAATTACCCCCACGACGTAGAGGTATAAAACAACTATGTATTATGCTCACAGATTCTGTGGGTAGGAATTCAGACAGCACAGCAGGGATGACCTTTCTTTGCTCCATTTTGCATAGGGCCTCAGCTGGAATATTTGAAGGTTGTGAAGGGGAATCATCTGAAAACCTTTCACTCTCATGTTGGTGGTAGCTGCAAGCTGGAGGCTGCAGGCTGGAGACCTCAGTTCTATTTCATGTAGAGCTCTTCATGTTATTGCAATATGGACTGGTTTGAGCTTCCTCACAGCATGATGGCTGGGTTCTAAAGATAAGAGACTGAGAGAGAGACACACACGGGGCAGGGGCAGGGCCAGCTTGTCCGAGTCAGAGTTAATCAGAAGTTGGCACTGAAGGAGGAGGAGGAGGAGGAGGAGGAGGAGGAGGAAAAAGGGATTCCTTTTTATGACCTAGCCTTAGAAGTCTTACAGTCTCAATTCAATTTTGCTGCATTCTATTTATCCACACCATTACGAAGTCTCATTCAGGTTTAAGAGGTGGGGAAATAGACCCTACTTCTTGAGGGGCAGAGGCAAGGTTTTAAAGAGCATATGAGACCAGAAATATTGCTGTGACTATTTTGGGAAAATACAAGTTTGCCATAGGTACTTACATTGAAAGACCTAAACACCTTAAGAGGGTAAAATAAATGAGATGCATAATAAGTAAAATATGATACCATTCATGGTTTTTTAAAAATACAAAACCCATGTTTCAAATGTTCATAAATTGCTTAAGATACATATTTTCCAAACTGAGGCAGGATGGTAAGAATCTGGGGAAACTGCTTGACAGGTGGAATAGGGAAAACTGAGACAAAATCATTAAACAAGCTAAACAATTTGAGCAATTCACAGCCAGCTAATGAATCACAAGGGTTTATCTTCCCTAACCAAGGACATTTAAGAAAAATTTGTTTACACATTCCAGACCCTCCCAGGGCAGACTGGCTTCAGATCCCAGTCCCTCTTCAATCGCATTCTTTAAAAATAAAACTAACCAGAAAAAAACCCTGACCCTTCTATTAACACATTTTGAATCAACATATTGAAGCCCACACCTGGAAAGTTAATGAATATTCTGTTAAGACCCTCCTCTGAGACCTCCCATAGGATCCCCACTGGCTATGAAAAGATAAAAAGCCTCCAGACAAGAACCCACAGCACGCCCATGCCTTGTATCTCTGCTCTCTTTCTCATCCACCAGTGACCAGTGGTTCTCAACCTTCTGGCCCTTTACAGTTCCTCATGTTGTGACCCAACCATAAAATTATTTTCGTTGCTACTTCATAACTATAATGTTGCTACTGTTAAGAATCGTAACGTAAATATCTGATGTGCTGGATGGTCTTAGGTGACCCCTGTGAAAGGGTCATTTGACCACCAAAGGGGTCGCAACCCACAGGTTGAGAACCTCTGCGCTAGGAGACATATGCCCCCAAAAACATTACTAAGACCAATGTGAGTTTATTGCCTATGTTTTCTGCAAGGAGTTTTATGGTTTCAGGTTGTACATTTAAGTCTTTAATGTAAGAACCCTCCTTTCTGACTTTCTGTGAGCTAACAGCAACCCTGCACCGGCTCTCTCCTGTTGCTCCTTCTACCTTAAGCCCTTCCTTTGTTTTGCTATCCCCAGCTTTCATAAACATACTCTAAAAATCACTTGGGCTCATATTGTGAAATCTTTCCTGCATGATGTCAAGAACCCACACACTATCGGCCAACCTGAGGCTGTGGGCCCAGTACCTGTCCTGTAAAAAAAAATGATATGGTTTCTAACTGTAACCTGGGTGTCCAGCCAAAGAACCAATCTGTTCAAGTCATGCAGGAAAAACTGTCAAGATGGCCACCACACAATTCCTTAAGACAAGTTTAAGGGTAAGTTTTACTTAGAGAAATGTCTATGACTTGCTAACTGTGGAATATCGCCCTCTTGTAAGAAAGATGTGACTCCGTTGTAATGAATGACTGGTGGCAAGGCTGCATGTTCTTTCCATATTGTAACTTGGCATTGAGCTTTCTCACACTGAGAGGCTGACCTGATGTCGCAAAGTTATTTTCAGAAAGATGAGAGTTATAAAGACCTTCCTGAGGTCAGGGACTGAGTCTTCTTCACTTTGTATTCATATATCTACATATGAAAGGGAACTTGTTAAGTTTTTTGACTGAATTATGCTGGTCTCTCATTCAGCAGTCCAGGGTGTTTATAATTAAGCAGAGTAAATTATGGCCTCTTTACTAATTAATAAGCTAATAAGAGTTCTGATCTCTAAGCTAGGGTGACTCTACTTCATATCCCAGTATTAAAATCCCAATAATAATCTTCTAAGTCAGATGATATCTCTAAGAAATCTGTACTTATGAAATCTTTTCTTTCTTGCTCATGTTTATGAGTAATATGCTGATACGATGGTCACATTATTTTAGAGATAGAAATGAGATTAGTTCACTCATGACTTAGGCAGGGTGTCCCCCAAAAATGTATACAAACTGA